TCTCCAGGCTGACGATGTTTTGGTCCGCTACATATTGAAGCAGCTAGCCAATCACATGCAGTCTTTGAGCTTGAATGGCTGCTACTGGCTGTCTGGCTCTACGATGGAGCTTCTGGCTCGCTGCAGAGGAGTGACACACCTGGATGTCACCGGCTGTCGCATAACTTCCCTGCGTCTCTCCCGTCTCCTCTCCTCCCTTTCTCTGCTCAGATCCCTCGCTTTTGATGTGACGCCGGGCTTCAACTCTGCTCAGCTCAGTTCAGAGGCGGTGGATTCTCTGAGCCGCCCTGTCGGAGCTCAGACAGACACTGTGACACCGAGTTATGGTGTGGTGCCATGCTGCGCCCAACTACGCAAGTAAGAATCTGTGCGATCACTGAGGTTTCACATGAGGCTTTTGTCCAGAATAACTTCCTATTTGACTCTCAATGCAATATTGATTATATATACACTTTTATGTGATCATCTGGATACAAGTTGTAATGTTTATGCACCATGTTGTTTCTTAAGAAATGTAAAATGTACAGAATGGAGCAGAACAATTGACTAACAAGAATCTCATATTGATTGGTTGAGTTTAGAAACCATACACTGTTTGAGCTTAAAGGTAGGGTAGGTAAGAATGGAGAAACCAGCTCGAGTAAGCTAGAATTTGAAAGTATGCAGCCGGAAAAAATCTGCCCCTTCCTTCAGACTTCCTTAAGCGCACATGACCAATGAGGGCACGAGATAAGTTTGTGCACGAGATGGAAGGCTGACAGGCAGGTATGCCATCCAGTTATTTTAGCCGGGCCGGCTAAAATAACTGGTCGTGCTTTTTACAGCACCACGGCTTCCACAGATGACATTTTTTTATGTATTTATTGTCAAAGCATTTAATGTATTCATTGCTATCGGGATGTTGAGAGCATTCCATGGAATATAACAAAAATTGTTTCTGAAGTGAATTACCTACCCCACCTTTAATGCATTCATCTTCTTTTTCCTGTCTTATGGCTTTGTTTTACTGCTGCTGTTTACTTCAACTGCTACAATGTTGAATGTTTGTTCACTTGCAGGCTGATGCTTCAGTTTGACATCTCAGACGTGACTAGAGAAGGTATCGGTGTTTGCTGCCAGTTGATGATGGGTCAGAGCAGTGTGCCACATTACCAACAGCTGGAGGAGTTCACTGCCAGGCTGGCTCCAGGAGAGGTGAGCTTTGGTTTGTTCCCATGTGTCTGCAGCATACTGGGTACTACACCCTGCATATTGTAAATCTAGTTTTTAATTTAAAATGGATTCAACCAGGAGCTTCATTGAGTTTAAACATCTCCTTTAGAAGAGTCTCCCTTCCAAGACAGCAACAGCACATTAAACACACTTTTAGACATAACAATTGAAGACAATATAATTCACACAATCACACAAGGGCAAAGAGCTCAGTCAAAAACACGTAAGGAGACCCAACTAGACCCAAATCAGTCTGCAGCAAATCCAATCTGCAGAAGCAGCATCGCTATCATTTCAAGGCTGACATCGGGGACAGATAGCAGCAGGTAATACAAAAAAAGTATTATTAATTATGTGGCCAACGCAGCCATTGTGTGAGCAATTGTCTGAGAGAAGAGAGCGCTGCTGGACCCGTCGTACCAATAGTGCTTAAATTAGTATTGAAACTGTTTCAAAAATATTCAGAATCTATAGTAGTCGAGTAATTAAAAGATGGGTTCATCAACTTTTACTATGAGTTTGTAAACATCTTGACTTTATGAGTGTATCTGTGTGTTCCCCTCAGGTAAACCAGACGTTGCTCCTGCTCTATCTGGCCGTGTTCAGCGTTCACGTTCCAAAACGTCTGAGAGTTTTCCTTGTGTCGATTCCCGGTCCGAACCCCGCCCACTGGCCTGCTGCCCCCTCCCTGGCTCAGAGCCTCGGGCAGGGGGGCGACCTGGAGGCCCTGCAGCTCCCTCGCTCCTGGCTGGATTCCTTTTCCCTGAAGCGAGCCCTGGAGGGAAACAGCCCAAAGCACCTGAGCTTCAGCCGCTGCCCGGCGCTGTGGACGCAGGTGTTCCAGTCGCTGCTGGAGGGAGGAGTCAGAGACGCCAAGCAGCTGACCAGCCTGAACCTCAGCGGGATCAACAAGGTCCTCTACTCAGAGTGCAGGAGTGTGGAGGATCAGCTGGTTCCTGAGACTATGAGCCGCCTGGCAGCTGGTTGTTCCAACATTAGACAGTTAAACCTGATGCACACACACTACCATCACGAGAGCTCACCTGGGCAGGGTGGAGAAACACACCTGTGTGCCAGCTTGGCCAAACTCACACATCTGCGCTCTCTCACACTGCCTGCCTGCGCCCTGTCAGACGGCTTAAACACACATCAAGTCTCTATAAACAACACTCCCTCCCCTTTGTTCCTGGGGTTAAAGAAGAATCCACGGGTGGGGCTCCAGAACTACAAGCCTGATTTAGAGTCCTCTCTTTCAGAGGACAGCACCTCGGGGCTCTCTCTGCTCTTAGCTGGCTGCCCTTTTCTAGAAACCTTAGAAGTCATCGGCCCTGGTTTTGTCTCCGCGCTGCCTCGGCTCGAGCCCTGCACTCGTGCCGGTGTGGAGCCTCGTGGCATGTGTGAGTGGGCGCGAGGAGTCGGCGACGCACACTTAGCAGCACTTGAGGCTTTGCCTAGATTGCGCCGTCTGAGTCTGGCGGGGCTTCCTGGGGTCCTGAAAGGGACAGGGCTGGTACAGCTGACCCAGCAGTGCAGAGACCTCAGGGTTTTATCCCTCGCCAACATGGGCTCACTAAAGACCATGAACTACGCCCCTGCCTTGCTGGATTCACTTAAACAGTGCACACAGCTACAGGAACTCAGGTTAGAAGATGTGTACCCTTCATTTACTGTGACACTGTGCCACAATTGATTCTTTTTTATATCAATAACTAAACGCGTTACCTTGAGTTCTTGAAGAAAACTTTTCTCGCAGCCTACACAGTAGACACAGAATCTAGAAACAGAGAATATTCTTGACTGAATTCATAAATGGGATCTGCGTAAAACAACAGCACAACTAAATTAAAATGCATGTTTTGGGGAAATAGCACAAGATAAATGTTTTGGGAAATGTTGTAAATGGATGTTTTAATAGAGGTTTGCTTATGTTAAACGTGGCCCCAATATATATATATATTATATCCACTACAATATTAAGGGCAAACAAACCAGTTAGTCCAATCACATTTAATGAAAGGAGTTCATGTGTTTGCTCAGCAAATTGTTCTGATTAATTGAACGTTGGTTGTCTGTGTGTTGTAGGTTAGAGCAGCCCTACCTGAATGCCAACGAGTCATTCTTTGAGGCTCTGTCCGGCTGCTCTCGTCTGCAGCGTCTCTGCCTTATCTCACGCAGCGGCACCTTCGACCCGTTGGCAGTAGAAAACTTCATGGAGCGATGCCGCCACGTCATCATGTGCCATATGTTCATGGGCGGCACCTTGGTTGCATGTCGCACACTGCAGAAAGTTCTTCTGAACAGGTTAGTGCTTGTGTGTGAGGACAAACTGTACGTCTACATTAGAGGGATCTTAGAAGCGGGGTTGTATGAGGCCTGCACGACCCTAGTTACAAAAATTACAGGAGCTAAGGCACGGAGGCAAAGCAGTGTACTAGTGTGGACGGTGGGACGCAGCAAAACCTATTTTAGCCACCTAAAAAAGGAATGTGCACTATATTCAGAATATTTTCGCTGCTTTACCTTGCCATCAGGTCGCTCTATACAATGGTGAACTGTTGCAGTTATCTTTGCTCTTCAATGCAACCAGAGACCTTTAACATAAACATTACATTTATAGTTGGAGTCGGGTGGCTTTGAAGAGACCATACAGTAGATAACAGGTTCAGTTTCTCAGAGTTCTGTCTAACAGCTGTGGCTGGGATTTATTTATCAAATGTGGATAGAGAATCAAACCATTCAGCTGTCTTTGTCGTATTTGATTTCTTGTAAGAAAGTTCAGTCAGTCATACAGAGAGCATACAGTCTGCAGAGTGAAAGACGAAGGATAGAGTTTGGGTGATGATGAAAGGAGCATTCTGGAAGTTAGGGAGGTAGGAGGGAGGCCATATCAGGAAGTTCTCAGTTCACCTGAGTTGAAGGTCATACTGTTGGTGCACATAGAGTGTAACTAACAACATTGCAACAAATCTTCATAAGGAATTTTCCCAAGCTTAGCTAAGAAGTGTGAGAAGTAGTAAATATAGATAAACATTAGCAAATACGAATCACACAATGATATTATTAAAGTAAGTAAGTGAGTATAATATTTTTCTATTACACAGCAAGTTAAAGCGCTGAAAATATTCTGGAAATGTGATATCGGATTGAGGTGGGCCTTTTGTGTTGCTAAAATATGTTATTCAGCAGACACCACCTGCAACAGTGCTGGTTGGTTTCTCCAAACTGGGGGCATGCTGACCTTCATCTTCTGTAGATATGGCTCTAAGTACCTCCTCCAACCTCGGGGTCAAAAAAACAAAACAACTATAATCCTGTTTTTAATTGTCAAAACAGGATCTCAAATTGAACTTTTCTTGTGTCTTTTCTTAGATTTTCAGTGGAGCGTTCGGCCCTGAGTGTGGTCATCTATCCATTACAGCATGAGGACCTGACTTTAGTCATCAGAGATATCCCGCTCACACTGCTGGACAGAATCACTTTGTTCCAGAGTCACGTGGCCCAACCACCACATCTATCACCATTGTGACATCTCCAGAAAGCTTCAGTGTGATTGGTGCTCAAGAGCTACGAGGCTCAGACCACTTTTATTCTGCAGGAAATAAAATTCAACAATGAAAAGACTTGACAGTCGTCTGCACAGTGATACTAGATTGTGTGATTTGTTACATTAATAACTGTTGCCAGCTCCGCTACAAAAAATCTTCAACTGTAATCGTTTACACTTACATGACAGAGTAAAGATGGTCTTTGCAGAGAAATGTACTTGCAGGGAGTTTTTTGTTTATTGTTCCAAGACATTTAACACTTAGTGCCATTGTCTCATTAAAAAACAATGTCTGTTAATTCACCACTCTGCTACTTTGAAAATAAGTGCCAAAAATACAAATGAAGGGATGTATTTCTTCAGATACTTTTACAGGAAATCTGAATCGAATTATGTTGTAATAAACTCCATATAAATTATTTGTAATTGTTGTGTGTGTACCATTTATATGTTCATGTTTTCTTTTCATTATATAAAAAGATATTTGAAAAACTGAACATGGTCCCACATGTTCTCACTCAGTTGTGGCTAAAAAAACAAATAAGGTGCTATGTACATCACTCTTTTTGGTTCTGGAGGTGGAATTTGCCAAAGAGTGTTTTTCATATATCCAAGTGATGTGTTTATTCATGTAAACATACCCTGATAAGAACACTGGATAATGCATTTAATACTCTTTCAATTGGTACAAGTCTCTTTGAGAGACATTTTAGGGGTGCAGGCCACTGACACTTTGGTCCTATTTAATACAATTTATTCTACACTGGGCCACCGTAGAGGACACGTTATCATCCAGCATACAAGAGAGCACTTTTTCAAACATGAGGGCACAATGTCCCTCCTCAGTCCACCACGAGACACTTTTCGGTTGTACTTCTACTCCCGATCACACAGCTGGGCGGTGTCTATGAGCCACAGTCCGGGGTAGAGCGGCTTTGTGAACGTGGTTTCTTCTCTGTGCAGCAGCTGCAGCGTTGACTCACAGACACAATAGAAGGTCAAATTCCCAGCCTTGTGATCGAGGAACACGCCAACTCTGGAGGACTGAGGCTCTGGCACTGCTTTCTCCTCATCATTGTGTCTGAAACATTTATCATTCCCGTTTATGTCTAAACTCCAGGATTTGTCGTTGCAGCCAAACGCACATTCTGAATAATAGTCCGATCTGCCTAGGTCTCTGTAGGCCACTGCTATTTCAACAGACCCCTGAAACTCCACCTCCCAGTAACACCGTCCAGACAGACCCTCCCTACACAGCACCTGATAGAGGTGAGAGAATCTGTCCGGGTGTTCAGGATACTCCTGGACCAAATCTGTGAGCACCGCCTTTCTGTCCCCCTCAGACAGAACCATCTCTCTGTACAACGTGTTGGGGTCCAGGGTCAGGTGACAGTAATCTGAGTGACAGCAGGAAGAAGTAGACGGATGGTCAACATTTCCTTTATACACTTCAAACTGATGTGTGACTGTGTTTTATTTCAGGCATATATATCAGGATTTGTGAAGGATTACAGTATTAGTAAAGAGAGACTGTTTCGGTTTGGTTTTAAGATAGAAAAGATGACTCACATTGTAAGAGGTCTGCTCTGGTCTGAGGTTCATCTGTCAATAAATCATCTGTTTGACAACACACACACACACACACACAAATTAGGAGTCTTATTGATAAATAGAGCTTTATGTTACCATTTTTTTTTTTAAACGTATCTCTGAGAAGAAAACATGGAAGTGCTAATATGTAGAGTGTAAACCATTCACACTCTATTAATAGGGATATGTTTAAATGTATCACATAAATGGCAGATGTAAAAAATAACAACAAAAACGTAATGAAAATGCGATTGATTCAAACTAAAAACTGATTCAATATATTAATAAATGTAGTAACAATTTCCTCAAAACCATTCACATTGAAAACCTAACATAATTAGATCAAATTACTGTATAGTTGTAATTAAATCAGATAAATGATAACAGTAATATGTTGTATGGAACAAAGTCCAGTCATGTGTGCTGAAGGAACATTGTTGTGTTGGTGTGCTGTGTACCAGGAGCAGGCGTGGTCACGGGAGAGGAGGGTGGAACTTGCTGGTCTTGTGCAGAGATTTCCTTTAGAAAGATAGAATACAAGAAACTGTGATAAACTGTGACACTCCAATACACTTTTTCTGAAGGATGTGTGATTAAACCTGAGGACTGAACACTTCTCCTCATATACTTGTCTGTATTCCCAGTAAAAACAGTGATAAAACTATGTATTTTTAAGACACTCTAAGTATTTAAAAAACACTGCATGTGACAACAAAACATCAACCTCAAACTGCCATTTATACAGAATAGTTTCACCAAGGTTTGATATTGAACTACTTGTATGCTTGAGGTAGTCACAACAGTCTATGGTCACAACGAACAGCTGTTAAGATTGGGTACAAAGAGTAATACTTGCAGCTTGTACAGAGGAAACAGGTGCACTGAAATTCAGTTGGGAGCCAAAACAACAAAGACTATATTTTCTAAAAACAAAGACAGGAAATAAAGCAGCACTCCGAAGGTCAATCCAGCGAAATAATCATGTGTGGATCATTTGGATACGTTCATTTCCAATCAATAGGCTGAAAATGTGTGATTGTTCTTTTTTTCTACCTCTGGAATGTCAAAGGTTTCTTGACTTTGTTTTTTGCAAATACAGTGAAGTAGTACTCGTAGTGCCATAGCCAGGATTTTAGAAAGAGTCCAACATTAACAGCCACACCCTTTAATACATTTTTGTATCGAAAAACAAAATATGTATTCATTTAATTGTCTGAAGTGCGTATTCAAATAATCCTCTGCACAGTATTCAATTTTGACAGTGAAGTAATGATCCCTTAAAAATTGTATTTTTGCCCGACTCACTTTGGTTTAACGATATTGACCACAAACTTTGGAGGCTCCTGCTGAGACAATCAGACATTCTGTTATTTTGATTTTCCAATTAGTCACATCATTTTGAATTGTGAATCGTGATATTTATTGTCTGTTACATATGTGGTTACAGTTTAGAGCTGACCTTTTATGTGGGAGACTAAATAATACATAATAATAAAGTGTTTTCAATTACATACATATTAACAAGTAAAGCATTTATATTATGAGTGTGTAATGAATTGCATAATATTAAAGGTTAATCTATGTTACCATTGACGCTGGTGGTGGTGTAGCTCCGTCTCTCTCTCTTCTAATGATGTAACGCTGGTAAAACGTATCCAGGATGTCTGTAACGACTATGAAACATTGTCTGAAATTATTCAGACCAGTCTTTAAATGAGTTTAATAAGCCTTGCTCAACCAGCTCAACATGTCATGAGGAAGGGGCGCTGAAGTCAACTTTATGACCAGCTGAGGGGAGGGGCGTAGACATGTGAAGTCAATGGCTCAGACATACTAATCAATCACTGATGTCGTTGATCGAAGTGAGAAATCCAATCCAGTGTAGATTAAGGTTTTTCCTACTATCTACACTACCCATAATTAAACAATGTGATGTTTACAATGTTTAAACTCAAAGACTGTCCTTGTTGATTCATTTCAAGGACAGAATTGCTAGTTCTACTATATCTATTACTCGGGTCTGGGCTAGTGTTTGTCATTGAAGCATCGTGGTGCACTCAAGCAACATGACAGAAGATACGCAGCTTAGTTTGCTTTTTTAAAGCAACGGTCATTATATTGTAGTTAGCTGTATAAAATCGGTTAAAATGTTAACGTCTGTCGCCTGCTCTTGCATGCGAAACGGGAAAAGAGTCTCGGCCCGTTTAGCAAAGTTGTCCCCCTTTTTAACGGAAAGCAGCTCGACCCAGACCGTGAATCTGAAGGGTGGACACTGGTCATCAGGACTCCTCTCACCGGCTCCCTGGCAGCTGCAATCCGCTAGATCGGTGTCCCTGTCAGCCGCTTCACATGGAGCTACAAAGCCTCTGGACTCCCCTTTAGTTCCAGCCGAGGACGACCCCCCCGAAACGGGAGAAGTTCGGCGCCTTCTCCGCCGACATATCCTCCAGGAGGTCGTTCAGGAAAACCAGCCCTGACCTGCAGGATCTGAAGCACCAAGAGGCGGAGGTGGGGAAACCCTACCCGAGGACCGCCAGGAAAAACACACCGTACTGGTACTTCTTAGAGTGCAAGAAGCTGATCGAAGTAAACAAGGTGAGTTCATTTAACCTGGACTGTCTGCAAAATGTGATTCAAAAATACATCCTGTAATTCAGTCCGAGAAATCTAAAATGATGGCGTAGAATTGCAAAATAAGATTCAAAGGTTCAGTGTAGTTAAGGCAATGCATATATTAAGTCCAATGCTCCTCCAACAATGCAACATAAAGATATATAAGATTAAAAACAAAAATAATAATAAGAACAATACAAATAGTGCAAAAAGAACCAGAGGATAAATAAAATAGTCCAAGAGAATGTTGCAAGACCAATGTGCAAATCATGAAGAAGAAGTAAACTATATACATGTTTAGTGTACAAACATGTAACATAGAATAAGATAAACAAAAATCCTGTACAGTGGAATATATACTGCAGTAACTCAAACTCAAAATAAGAATGTTTTAAAAATGATGACATACTATCTAAAAAAGCAAAGACAATTGCTCAAACTATTGACCTCCTAATACAAAATAATGACTTATCTCGAATTACCGACGAAGTATCTAAAAAATAATTACTTATGGAGATTTATCACTGTTTTTGAGATACTAAGTTAATATTTGCTCGATGCTTATTATAATGATTTGCAGGATCTTTTTGCGATCAGCTTGGCGAAAATTGGCTATCACAGTCTTCTCACCTTCTTCTGTGTGTAAACATTATTTTCCCTGTCACAGCTGCAGGAGGCTATAGATCTTTTCAGCGGAAACATGCTGAAGGGAGAGATGCTGCAGCCGGAGCAGTACAACTACACCATCCTGATCGGAGGCTGTGGGCGAGCTGGACAACTCAAGATGGCCTTCAGACTCTACAATGATGTAGGGATCATTTATTTATACCTTTTTATCAAAATACCAAATGACACTCCAGGTCATAAAGTTGTGTTAAACCTCAGTATATTATGTTATTTGAACAAAAGCAAGCACATATTATCAAGAGTCAATATGATACAACTACAATATAACCCTCAAGTTGTATTTTAAACCTACAATAATAAGCTTAGACAAACACACACTTCTTATGTATGGTTGATATTATGCGTGTGTTCTGCAGATGAAGAAGCGAGGTCTGGTTCCTAATGATGCCACCTACACTGCGTTGTTCAATGCCTGCGCTGAGACGCCATACAAAGAAACGGGGCTCCAGCACGCGTTGAAGTTGGAGCAAGAACTCCGTCGCTTAAACGTCCCCCTCAACACCATGACGTACCACGCGCTTCTCAAGACGCACGCCATCTCAAACAACCTTCAAGCTTGTATTCAAACAATCAGGGTACGATATGGGCCTACTACATTTTTATTCATTTTTAAGGAGGATGAGTTCACTGAATCTTGTTTTTACTTGTTTTATAGGAGATGCTACAAAACCGCCATGTTGTAACTCAGGAGACGTTTCACTACCTGCTGATGGGATGCTTGAAGGACAAAGAAACTGGATTCAGACTGGCTTTACAGGTAGATACAAGATACAAGTGTTATAGAGTGCCACAGTGACGCGTCCTAAAACCCGGAAGTAAGCTGCGCATGGGTTCCTTCGACAAAAAAACAATGCAATTTCTCCATAGGATTTTGGAAAATAGGTCGAAATAAGGTCTGTGGTTGACACACATTCAAGAGACGGATCACGTTTTGTTCAGTCGGATAATCTCCACATGTCTACCCTACTTTTATAATTTTCTAATCATAAATCTATCGATTAGAAAATTATAAAAGTAGGGTAGACATGTGGAGATTATCCGACTGAACAAAACGTGATCCGTCTCTTAAATGTGTGTCAACCACAGACCTTATTTAAATTAAATTAAATTAAATTGCCAGCTAACCACATTAGTACATAACATGTTTAAAAGTTAAGGCTCCTTTACTATGACACAGATTGCAATCGCAAAATAGAGTCAGGGTTTCTTTGCCTTAGTTGGATCGACAAATCCTTAAACCCAAATCAGATGAAATCGGTACTACTTTGGTCATCTTCGTAAACCCAGACTATATTTGTAGTTAGTATAAACATTAAATCTTGTAACTAATGCTTTTTCATTTATTTATTTTTGATTTCCATTTGAAACTTTCTCATCGAGGGGTAATTGTTTTTGGCAAAAGTACTACAAACAGCTGCATTCAACTTAAAACATGTCATAGCCAAAGCCAGGATGTAAATTGACTCGGTAAATATTGTGTTTCAGGTTTGGCGCCAGATGCTGAGATCAGGGCTTCTTCCGGATACATACAACTATAACCTGCTGCTGCGAACTGCAAGGGATTGTGGGATTGGCGATCCTGCCCAGACCTCTGCCGTGCTGCTGAAGCCCGACCAGGGGTACGAGGGGAAACGTTTGTCAAAGTTACAATCGTCAGAAAAGGTGCTCCTAAACATTGACCTCCTGGAGAAGCAGCTGTGTTTCCAGCCTGATGCTCGCAGTGACAGTCAGCAGGACGGCAGAGGCAGCGAAGAAGAGTCTAACATAAAACAAGACTCAAGCCATTTGGTGCCAGTCAGACAAATAGAAACGTCCCCACTGCCTGTGGACTTAGTAGCAGACTCTACAGCCCCTAACCTACTGGACCTTTTTGAGGGTAAGAGGGTTGCTGTGGTCTCCCTCGGCACCGTAGCTGGAGCAGCAGATAGGCTCGCCCTCATCGGAGGAGCTAAAGGTTTCCTGGAGAAGATGAAAGCTAAGAGCCTCAGTCCGAACCTGAAGACCCTGGCACTGCTGGCCGACACCATGGAGCCGGGGTATGAGTCCCTGCAGATGCTCCTGAGGGTCGCCAAGGAGCACAAAGTGAAGCTCGACGTTGCGTTCTTTAACTCTGTGATTCGCAGATCAGCCAGAACAGGTGACCTGGAGGAGGCGAAGGTACAAACACACTGACTGCAGTCAAATACTCTTTTTGCCGAGGAAGGTTCCTCACTCGGTAAAATGACCTGAAAGTATTCAACAATAAGAGCTAATCTAAATCTAAATGCTAAGAAAGGATCGTCAATGCTTCCTTACTTATTTTTTTACATTTTGAACTTGTAACGGAGCAATTTTATTTTACACTGTGTTTCTGCTACTTTTACTTTGGTAAAGACTGCGAGTACTTATTACCCCACTTCTGTTATTAACACTCTGACTTCGCTGTGAACAGTTTTCACAAGAACTACATTCTATTGAAGAAATCGTCCCTATGAAAACTGTTGACAGTGAGGTGCTGTGAGAAATTAAGCAGACCCCATCTTCCTCACTCTACAGAGGAACAAATAAATACCATTACTTGGTGATTGAACTGAAGGGACCCTTTTTAAGTGTGTGTGCGTATTTGTGATGCAGTTCTTTCTCTTTCCAGGGTGTGTTAAGTGTGATGCGACAGCGTAATGTAAGCGTGGATGTGCAGACATTTGGGAGTCTAGCGTTGGGCTGTGAGCAACAGGAGGACGGGCTGCAGCTGCTGAAAGACATGGAGGTGAGTCTCATGTTTCTATAATCCAGGATAGAAAATCTATGTTCATTTATATTCAATTGTATTACTTGTGTTTACGGACAACACCTTCCACAAATGTAGAAAAATATTTGAAATTGTTAATATATTTAGAAAATATAAAACAAATCTGCAAATATACGAACAAGTTCAACAAATAAATAAAACATATCTGTGATTAGATGATACATAGCCCAAGGGACACAAGTGTAGAATTAGTTTGTGTTTCATATTTGCAGAATAAACATTTAAACATGGATTGTGGATGTATTCCCATAAATCAAATGGAACAATTCTATTTTTTTGAACTGACATGTAAATGTGAACACAGATGGCATGTTTACAAATGTTTTATTGAGTATTGGCTTTAACTGTGTCATATTAAAAACGACATGTCTGATCATTGCAGGTGGCAGGATTCAAACCTAATGTCCAGGTGTTCTCTGCTCTGATTGGCCGAGCAAGTCGGAGACTGGATTTCCTTTACCTCAAAACATTGCTCAAAAGCATGACAAGCATCGGGGTGGCCCCTAATAAAGTCATCATCAAACAGCTGGAGTTTGCCTCAGAATATCCTCCCGACTATGACCAGGTAATTATCTGCACAGTACATCAGGGAGGTCCACCAAGTATTCAGTACACACCTGAGCTAAAAACACATCTGTGTGGATGAGTAGAGGCGTAGTTTGTTCTCAACAAAGTCTTAGTCTTCATGGCACAATCATTTGTAATTGACAAAAGTCAAGAATAATATGTTCACAGGGTGATAATATGTCAGTGTTGTGTTTTTAGCTTATTATATTGGCCTTAAGTGGCCAAAAAATTAGCACAACATGATGATTAAAGTCAGTTGTGTTTCTTGAAGGATTCCATTCTACATTTTGCCAGTATAGTTCGGCAGATTTGGTTTAATTGGCCTAGGTTTTGATTTTGCGTTTCTGGCACTCGCGTCATTACACTTTAATTTGTTTCCCCCAACAATCCCAGTACAAGTCCAGAAACAACTACCTGGTGCGTATCGAGGGTTTCCGTGGTTTCTACCAGCAGTGGCTGAGATTCATGCCTGGTCAGAGCGCTGAGGAGGAGCTGCAGCCTGAGGCGGAGGATGAGGAGCCGAACACAGACGCTGCAGGTGGACTGACGAAGGGCCAGAGTAATCAGAAAGCAGCAGCCAGGAGATATGGCTCTCGTAACAAGGACAAGACGGACAGCGGTGCTCTGTAACAGCACCTTCTGAAAATGTCTCTTCATCTCCTCTGTGGGTTTGCCTTCAGCTGTGTAACCCTGGATGGACTTCGGGTTAATGTTGTAGCTCATGGACCCATTGTCAGTTGATGTAAAGCAAAAGCGTTTTCCTCCAAAGTGTGATGTTATTGAAATTTATATTGCAATTTAAATAAATAGTTTGAGAAATGTAGCATTATCTTGGTTGTGTATTACATTATATTAAAATAGTTTAACAATTTGTAGGGTCTTTTGTGGAGCAAACTATGGCATTCACTGGCCTTTGTGCAGTGAATGCAAAATACTACTAAAGAAAAAGTTCCATCAAAGAATATTTATATTTTGTTTTCTATTCAAGAAGATATATATACAGTATGTACATCAAACATAATATACAAACAAAACATGGACATCAGGGGTACATAGACACATATACAGAGTCAAATAAATAATATGAAGAAATAGTGATAAAAACAAAAGGTAACATTTCAATTAAAATATTTATCGAACAAACATTTGGTTTTAATTTTTTTAAATATAAAATAAATGTAGCTGCCACATTGTTGTAATTCTAATTAAAATGTGCAATATTTGGTTTAAAGTCAGTCTTTATCCTCTTGTGAATAAGAAATGTTCCTAAAAATAAGATTAGTTGTATAAAAAAACAGTATTGCTTTAGCCTTGTTCTCCACACTGCAGCCCAGTAGGTGGCGGTAATCCTACTTCAAGCCTGTTTGCCATCCGCCAATAAAGCCAGCGAAGAAGAAAAGGAAACGTCACATCCGGTGACGGTGAGCGTAGGAATCGCCGAGCGCCAAAGTAAATGTACTTATTTGTTGATTGATTAAACAGACAACAAAGGTAAGTATACTGTATCTAAAATCAAAACATCAATTTAAACTTATTTAATATCTATATCATGTTGCAGTAAAGAAGTGCACTTTTAATGTTGACATAATGTTGGACTGTTTTTACACGTATTTAACTTTCGATTTCCTGCCTTGAGGAACGCTAACTAGCATATTTTAAAAGTACGAGAATACTAACGTGGTTTAGTGAAACTGTGAAGCAAAGTTAAAGCTAGCAAAGCAGGCATTGTTTCTGACAAAGACTTAAAATGTACAGTGGTATTGGTATCGACATGACATGCTCTCTTTCCAAATTCCCAACATGTAAACTTTTAACAGTTTCGGAGTGAAAGAAAAAGTTGTTATTGGACATTGTAGTTCGTTATTGAGGGTTTCCATTTCTTTCTGAAACTTCATACTTACTATTGCACTGAATTTCAGAGGAAAATATTGGACTTTTGACTGCACATCAAGAGTTTTAGTTACTTTTGAGCCATGATGACTTTATAGAATATGATGCAATGCTATGAAACTACCCAACCAAATACAAAGGGGTTAAAATCAGCTGTAAAAACTACATTAAAATGAATGTATCAGTTTTATTCATCTAAAAACAACAACAAAGTACTCATAGGAAACATTTTACTGAAAGAATTGTACTTTTGATTTGCTATGTTTTTATGAGCTGGGCTTTAAAGGTAGGGTAGGTAAGTTTGAGAAACCGGCTCGAGATCGCTAGAATTTGAAAATACACAACCGGAGAAAATCTGCCACTTCCTTATAGAGCCCCTCCTCCAACACACACGAACGCGCACATGACCAATGAGGGCACGAGATAAGTTTGTGCCCCGATGGAAGGCTGACAGGCAGGTAGGCCATCCAGTTATTTTAGCCGGGCCGGCTAAAATGATTGGTCGTGCTTTTTACAGTATTACGGCTTCCACAGATGATATTTTTTTATGGATTTTTTGTCAAAGCACTTAAGATATTCATTGCTATCGGGATGTTAAGAGCATTCCATGGAATATAACAAAAAGTGTATCTCGAGCCGGTTTCTCAAACTTACCTACCCTACCTTTAATTAATTGTATTGTGAAAAACATTTTAATTCAGTAATTTTAATAATGTATTTAATCAAAGGATCTTAATCCTCCTTCCACCACTGCCTAAAGACTAGACCAACATCTTATGCATAGCATTAATTCTTGAGTTAATGAATACCTTTTCTTTATCCAGTTTTCCGATGTGTACGACTGGAGAAATTATCATCCTCAGTGATGATGACGACTGTGAAGACGTATCACCCAATGAACTCTCGGTTTTCATCGTGGAGGTGGAGGATGTGAAGAAGAGTGGTAACAGCTGTTTACTCACCGGCAGTCTGTATGTGAGGGTGTTCATGTTATAAAGAGTTAACTATAGCTGCTCCTCTTCTGTGTTTCAGAGTGTGCTGTACCTCCCACCGCTCTGGATGAAGACCTGGTCATCACCTTCTCCCGCAGCGCTGAGGTCCTTCCTCACGCACGCTACGACTGTCCCATACATCCCTTCACGTGAGTAAATTACCACACACACACACACACTCTTTGGTGGTTTAACGGTAAACAGAAGTCACGGTTCGGTTCATACCTCGCTTTAAAAGTCACAGTTCAGTTGAGCAGAAACAAGCATCCAAATGCACAAGGATATCTTTCTTTTGATTTGTGTTCCCATACTTTGTGAATATTGTGCTTCTTCTTTTTTTTTTTACCTCTATTCAGTTATAGACACTTCCTCTCTTCTGTACTTTTCAGGGCTACAGATTGTGAGGTCTCTGCTCCTGTTCCCAATAACCACCTCATATGTGATCAGTGCTTCTGCTACATCTGCGACAAGCTGGCCTCATCGGTATGTGGTGACTTACCGTCTTAAATATATTCAGAATTACCTTAAATTAAAGTTTTTTTTGCATTTGTTGTTGAAAGAAAAGTGCCTCACAGCTGCATTAATGTTGTCCTGTGTGTGTGTGTGTGTGTGTGTGTGTGTGTGTGTGTATAGTGTGTGTGGTGGTGTTACAGCGGTTTGTGTCACTGCAACAGCCACAAGAGGAGTGACTTTTGGAACAACCACCGAAACTGTTCGCTGCTGGGAGGACTGAAGACTTTTAACCTCGCATTGTCTGAAGTAGACTCTCACCTCCGAAATGCAGGTAGACGCTCTCACAAACACATCTGGAAATCTCAGTGACATTTGGAAAACCACAGACTTGAATTACATGTAATCTAACTGCAACTGGATGTCTCTTCCTCTTGTCCAGAGACGATGCTGCAGAGCTTCAGACAGGAGCTCTCCACACTGTTCCTTGTCTTCTTGAAGGGAAGAGTGCTGGAGGAGTGCGGTCCGAGCCAATCAAGCAAGAATGGCCGCATCTTTGAGTGAGAGACGTACTAGAGCTGTAATACATTTATATATCAGGGGTCTGTGATTATTATTTTTTGCGTGACAGTCTTTAGGATTTCTAAATGTTTGTACCAAATGCCCATCCAATACCATATGCTGAACTTTGTCATTCCAACAACCCAAACAATAGTGTAGCATACAAGGGTCACTTAACAGTTTTCCACATCAATTTCAAGATATTAAACGTCTTTAGGTGTAAGAAGAAAAAAAAGAAGCTGTTATTGAAGGGGGGAAATATTCATTATTAAACTCAGATTTTCCTACCTAGACTGCCTCGGTAATCAAGGTGAAACACTGAAGGCTATAAAATGACAATGACCCGTACATGATTATTAACCTGAGTGAATGCGATGAGATTACGAGTCGAGTGTCAAGTCACGGTGTGTGAGACCATAGACGCAACCAAAACCATACCATGAAAAACAATCCAAATTGAACAAAAGTATGTGGACATCTACATGCAGTGAATCCAAAAATAGACCAAAGGCTTGGTGTATAGCATGGCTACAAAAACACCATTATGTCACATTAGAGCACTGACATTATCAACAAGTTATTAATGACTGTATTTTTTGTTGTTTTTTTGCAGTTACACTCCTGTGTACGAGTATGTGTTATCCTTCCTGAACAAAGCAGATCAACAGGACAGCCGAGCTGCTACCATCATGATGCTAGGAGCCACTGAGGACTTTATTAGACATTTTCAAGTCTCAGGGTACACGCACACACACACACACACACATCATTTAGAATTTCCTGTTCTAGCTTCAATGGTTATTTTCACAACTTTTATGTTTTTTGTGTATTCATTTCCTCTGGGATTATATGATTCTTTACAGGACTTTCCTTTTACAGTCTCCCACTGCTGATGCTGCTAAAGCCAAACTACTGTTATTGCAGCGGTAAAAACACACACACACACACACACACACACACACACACACTACATTTAGCTAACGCTTTTATCCAAAGCGACTTACAATAAGTGCATTCGACCAAGAAGATACAAACTTGAAGAAAACAGAATCATATAAGTACATCAGGTTTCATAGAGCTAAAACATGTCAAGTGCTACTCCACTGGCTTTAGATAAGCCAGTCCTTTATTAGTATATAAGTGCTTTGTTAGTAATTCTATCGCTCAAAGTGGAGTCGAAAGAGATGAGTTTTCAGTCTGCGCCGGAAGATGTGTATGCTTTCTGCTGTTCTGATGTCAATGGGGAGCTCATTCCACCATTTTGGAGCCAGGATAGCAAACCGACGTGTTTTTGCTGATGGGAACTTGGGTCCTCCTCGCAGTGCGGGTGCAGCGAGCCGTTTGGCTTTTGGATGAGCTGCAGAGGTTGGATGGCACATGCAGGTAGACCAGCCAGGAGGGAGTTGCAGTAGTCTAGGCGTGAGCCTGGACCAGAAGTTGCGTCACTTTCTGGGTCAGGAGGGGACGTATCCTTCTGATGTTGTAAAGAGTGTATCAGCAGCGGGTTATAGCAGCGATGTTTGCGGTGAAGGACAGTTTGTTATCTAGGGTCGCACCCAGATTCCTTGCAGTCTGTGTCGGGGAAACAATAGAGGTGCCGATGTTGATTGTTAGGTCAAGAGTGGGAAGGAAAAGCAGTTCAGTGTTGTCAAGGTTGAGCTTGAGGTGGTGAGCAGACATCCACTGAGAGATGTCAGCTAGACAAGCAGAGATGCGTGCGACGACCTGGGTCTCTGAGCGGGGAAAGGACAGAATGAATTGGGTGTCGTCAGCGTAGCAGTGGTATGAAAAACCATGCAGGCTAATGACTGATCCGAGCGAGTTTGTGTACAAAGAGAAGAGGAGGGGACCAAGAACAGAGCCCTGAGGGACCCCTGTAGTTAATTGACAAGGGTCGGACTCGGACCCTCTCCAAGTTACCCTGTAGGTGCGGTCTTCGAGGTATGAGGTGAGGAGGGAAAGTGCAGAGCCTGAAACTCCAAGTTCTTGGAGAGTGCAACGGAGGATCTGATGATTCACCGTGCATGCAGCAGACAGGTCCAAAACGATGATGACAGAGGAGAGGGAGGCTGCTTTAGCAGTGTGCAGTTCCACACACACACACACACACACATTCACACAGTGTGTTGCATCCTGTCTGTTCATTAATTTGTTTGTATTAACGTCTTCTTCCCTGCATGTGTTGGGGTTTTTCAGGGTCATAATGTCTATGCAGAGACAGATGGTGATGGCTGATTTCCCGACAGGGTTCAGCATCAAACTGCAGGATTTTTACAAGCGGCTGCCTTTCCCCACTGAGCTGAAGAGTGTGAAGAACAGGTGTGTGTGTGTGTGTGTGTGTGTGTGTTCAAATGTGTCTCTGAGGCAGCAGTTCACAATCGTGTTTGTTGTTTTTGATCCACAAGGTTTCACATTATAACTTTGTGAGTGTGTGTGCTTCAGTCTGAATGTCCGTCCTTGGGATGATGTCCTGCTGGTGTCTGTGCTGAAGGGGCAGAACGTGTCGGGTTCCCGCAAAGACAAAGGCAAGAAGGACTTCCTAGTTGAACTGATTTCTGTCGTTCTACTGAGAACAGAACTACTACAGCGACAGCACAGGTACAAAACACACGCTCACACCCTCTCTCTTTCACACTGAGATAATAATTGATTCCACAGTCTTTTGTCCTATGCACAGCTAAAGCGTAGTGGTTGGCAATCTTCACTTTTCTGCTCCTTCAACAGTGACATACAGTATAAGCCATAAAGATATTGCAGGAGAGAAGACGTGGCAGCCATCCACGCTTTAGCTGTCCTGCCACACTCTTCAGCTTTTCTTCTACTAATGAAATGAAACCTGTCTGGTATTTCTGTCTACAGATACAAAGAATTGTGCCGCTACCTACGCGTTGTCGAGACGGACAATCCCTTACTGTACGTCTTAAAACTAAACCTGCTTGACTGAAGCAAAACTGTGTTTAAGTATCATTTCATTGTGTATTTAACAAGTATGGTGTCTTTTGATGGAAGTGAGATTGAACCCTTTGTGTTTCACTTTGAAAAACTTGTTCTGATATCTTCAGTCAATCTTATCTATTAATATTATATTCCACTTATACTGAGTCCAATCTTTAAAACAACTTTAGTTTTGATCATTACTACCAAATATTAATTCATTTGAACAATTTAACCTTTTTCAAATGATTTTACACAATCCCACTGTTGTTTTGAGCAAAACTAAAATAAATAAAATACTTTCTTTATACTAAAGGCTAGGAGATGAAGCGTTTTTGTACTGTCTGGAATACATTACAATTATTTGTATTAGGGCTGCACGATATTGGAAAAATCTGACATTGCGATTTCTTCCCCGCTGCGATATATATTGTGATATGAAAAAATACAGGAATTGAAGAAAAGACAGTTTTCTTTTGTCCGCAAACCATCCTCTCTTGAACTTTAATGCTATACAATTGGTATTTTTCTAACTATATTTAACCGGATGAAGGATTTTAGTCACGGACATCTGGATCTTAAGTTATCAGAGCAACAAGCTGAGCTAGCTCGGTTAGCAGCGCCAAACTGCCCTGGAGAAACACATGAAACTACTTTTCAGTGTTTTTACCTTTAATCACCGGGTCCGTTTGCTTTGGAGATTTGATTGTGATTGGTGGTTTGCTGTGCATGCAGAGCCTGCATGTCACTCACTCAAGTACCCCTGACATGAGAGCCGCGCAAGTTTTCCTTTTGTAGCTAGCAGCAAAATAATTGTAACATGACGTGTTTGAGTTAAAGGTGGGGTAGGTAAGTTTGAGAAACCGGCTCGAGATCGCTAGAATTTGAAAATACACAACCGGAGAAAATCTGCCACTTCCTTATAGAGCCCCTCCTCCAACACACACAAACGTGCACATGACCAATGAGGGCACGAGATAAGTTTGTGCACAGATGGAAGGCTGACAGGCAGGTAGGCCATCCAGTTATTTTAGCCGGGCCGGCTAAAATGATTGGTCGTGCTTTTTACAGTATTACGGCTTCCACAGATGACATTTTTTAATGGATTTTTTGTCAAAGCACTTAAGATATTCATTGCTATCGGGATGTTAAGAGCATTCTATGGAATATAACAAAAAGTGTATCTCGAGCCGGTTTCTCAAACCTACCTTTAATTTGCCTACTTAATATCGCACGTCCTAAAAAATAAAAATGAAAGAAATCGCACGTCCTGCGATGTGAATATCGCGCATGCGCATATCGCGATTATCTTCACGACACGATATATCGTGCAGCCCTAACTTGTATGCATTTTTCTATTTTCTGTGCAGTGTCAGATAACCAATACATTAGACGACAAAAATGTCCAATTGGTAGAAAATAGCAAATGTACATATTATATTTCACTACTAGTGTAATACCTTCAGTCCTGATTATCCCCCCAAAACATACATCTAAATAATTGTATCCTTCATTATGTTCTGTGTGCTAAATACTAAGGAATATTTATTGACAGTCTGGGAAATGTCCGACAACATTAATGCATCGATTTCCATTTTATTTAGACGTGACATCAAGTTGTTGACTTGCTGCATTTGTTTTGTTTCTCGGTAGCTTCCACCAGGTGCAGGACCTCATCCCGTTCTTCACGTGCATGATGGGGGACTTGCCGTCCGCTCTGAACAGTTTGCTCCCCGCAGTGAACGCCCCCGCCTCCCGCTTCACGCCACAACTATTCCTCTTCTATCTCTGCGTCTTTAAAAAGGCAACAGCACCAAAGCTGGTGGTCCTTCAGTCATCAGAGCTCTCCTCCTCTGATGCAGCGTGGGAGCCGATTAACGGTCAGATGTAGATAAATTACTTGTATAACAGCTTTTTATTCGAATAAAAAGAAGAGTTTCTCATAAGTCTCCACTCTGCAGATGCTGTGCCGCTGACTCATGTCACTCTGGTCAGGTTTGCTCTCAGGGTTCATCGATACTGCCCTGCTGTCTACGCTGATGTAAGTCTGCTATCACTGCTCAGTTTCACAATGAATCAACACATAAGAACAACAGCTCTTTTAAATGTGTGTGTGTGTGTGTGTGTGTGTGTGTGTGTGTGTGTGTGTGTGTGTGTGTGTGTGTGTGTGTGTGTAAAAAATGTTTAATGTTTGATAAATGCACGTTTTGTTCAGCCGGATAATATCCACATGTCTATCCAACTTTTATAATTGTCGATTCATAAATCTAATCGCCAGAAGCAAAATGCTTACGTTATGCTATAAACGAACTACAGCAGGGTCGCACGACTTCAACGTCACGCCAACTTAAGATCCATATTCAAAAGTTGAAGCTTTTGTTTTAACAATTTGCAAGAGTGCAGGTACTTGCTTTCAAGCAGAAAAGGGGCAAACAAACTTAGCGGGAGTGTTTACGTGTTCGGCGTAATGACGTACAATGTCCCCTGTAGTCCTATTCAGCCACTTGTTAACAACCATCGTTTTTCAGACACGTAAACTCTTCAAAAATCCCCAGTGGGGTCACTGCTGGTGTATTTAATGTCGTAGAACAAAACGTGATCCGTCTTTTAAATTTGTGTCAACCACAGACCTTATTTCGAGCTATTTTCCAAAATCCTATGGAGAAATCCCATGACTTTGAGACGAGGAAACTGGTAGTGGTAAAATGCTAACTCACTGCCGGGTTTTAGGACGCGTCACTGCACCACTCTGTAGAGGATGTGCACAGACTGCAGTGCTTTTAAAAGGGAAAAAAAACAGTTTGTTTTGAAAAGTGTATTGGCCTGAAGTTCTCTAATGTGTGTGAATATGCAGTAGAAATACATGTAAGCGCTTTGAGCACCAGGAAAAGCGCTTTATAAATGTAATGTATTATTATTATGTATGACGAGCCCAGCATGTTGCAATGTGTGATTGTACTTCTGATATCTTTCTGATCCAGCCTCAGTGTTGGACCAGTTTAATCAAAGTCGCTAACACGCCCAAAGCTCAGCAAGGACCGAGCCCAAAGTTTCTTCTCGTAAGTGTTTCTTATTTATATACAGTTCCGGTTTGAAATGGTTAAAACATTCTCAATCTTTTATTTGTTTGGAGTAATTCAGTATTCTTTCTCTGTCATGTCTGGACTTCAGGAAGCGATGGTTTTTGTGCGGTCAATCCTTGAGGACGAGTACGGGTCAAACATACAGATCCCACGATTCTTTACGGAGGTTCGTACATAAGATCACAAATACACTCGAACCAATGGATGTTACACGTGGTTAATATACTTTTAATATATCTGTACCAAATGTTTCTCTTTTATGTGCAAAGGCTCAATTAGTGTTTGTTTAAGCTTCAAAATGTCTTGTTGGGATATTTCGTGATTAGAATAAATGGATTAAATGATAGTTTAAACTGAATTAATTGACATAAATTAAGTTTAGGACTATTCATTACAGCCCTACTTAATATATGTGTGTTTGTGTTTACAGGAGTACCCAGATCAGGCCTTGTTGCTGTTGGTAACGGGAGCTTTGTGTTTGAGAATCCTCGATGCTCCTCTGAATCCGACCTACCTGGTGCTCAACACGTTTAAGGTAATCTCCTGTTCCTGTTGAGAGATAAACAGTTTGATGACTCTCACACAGCGTCCATGTTCCTCAACACCATGAATCTGAGTGATGTTTCTGTGTCTCAGGAGAACGTGTGGGCTCTCGGCTGGCTGTGGAGCACTTTGTCCTCCAGCCCCGAACGCTTCAACTCCTTCCTGCAGGAGTTCTCCGAGGAGACGGAAAACATGACAGGTGTGCGGACATCTTTTTAGTCCTTCCTTGTTATAAATTCATCACTAAACCCACAATGTCCTGATTATCTGGGCCCAGGAGTTCAAAACTTTTAATCTCAATCAGATCCGATCAGATTTTGAAATCCCATTTTTTTGTGATCCAGGATCAGACAAGTCGGACAGATTTTGTCCCTGTAGTTCAAAGCAATTCAGGATAGGAACATCCAGATTACGATTTTTCAAGATTACTAGATCCTGAATATTAGTGCTTTAATCCTACCGATCACCATCTAGTGGATATGAAAAATAATACAAGGAAGACAAGAGACCACATTGCAGAGACATCTATAATGTCTAATTATATTTTTTTATTTCAAAGGTGATGACAGATGATGGACTTTTTTTTGTTGAAGATATTTTTACTTTAATCTAAATTACATTTGTGATTGACAATCTTTGTTGTGATACTTTTATCAGCATAAACATTTATGTCATCAACATTTGGTTGAAAACAAAATAGGCCACCACAAACGTGAGCAAAAATGGAAAAATAAAATGTATTTCCCATGAAGGCTAAAAATTGTGTATTTCAGTTAACAAACTTTGCCATCTTATTTAAATTGAAACATATTTTAAAATAAATTGTACAGTACATTTTGCTCTGGTAATCCACTGGAAATCCACCCCTCTGGTGGGATCAGGATAATCCAGTTTTTTGGGATCAAACTGATTCCAATCCTGTGTTGTCGGTTTGAACTACCCATTTTGAAGATTTGATCCAGATTAAAGCTTGGATTGGATTTCCTGATCTGGTCGGATATCAAAGTGATCCTAATCCTGTTTTTTGGTTTTGAACTACCCAAAATCCAAATCTGATTTGATCAGATAGGGATTACAAATGTTGAACTCCTGGGCCCTGGAGATTGAAAAAGGTGCAGGAGTATCAGTTTGACAGAACTCAGGTTATGTTATTAATCCATGATTTTGGTTACTTTTTTTAACTATAAGCTTTCCACATAGTTTACAGCAAAACACTGAAAATGATTGTTTTCCAAGTAAAACGCCACATCACCTACATTATACCTTTCACTGTAGTATCAATAGCTGTATAATATTTAAAGGTCCCATGTCATGGACATTTCCACTGATCATAATTCCATTGTTGAGGTATACTAAAATAGATTTATACTGTGCATTTTTCCAAACTCACATTGGTTTCGCATACAGCATCTCTGTAAAGTGTGTGTATTCAGCAGTATTCACTCTCTCCACTAAACGGCTTGTTGCAGCTCTTGCCCCCCCCCTCCCTGTGAGCCCAGTGTGCTCCGATTGGTCAGCTCGGCCACTCTGTTCTGATTGGTCAACCACAAGAGAGGCTCCGCCCATGTCTAACAGTGCTTTTTTCGGCTCGCTCTCAGCGGAACATCAGTCTTATAGCCGTATATTTTATACGCTAACTAACCGAACTGTACCTACAACTGTTATAGAAGAGTAAGTTATTTTTACCTGTAATAAACTACTACTGTTTGATGAGAAATCAAATCATGGTTTGCTATATATGAATGATATGTTTATAGGAGCAAATAATTCAGAGAAGAAAGGATACTAAGTATTTCCATCAAACTTTATTTTTAGAAATGTACAAAATTAACATGTGTAAATATACATATATACACTGTATATCATCCATTCCTCCCCTTATAGGCGTTTTCGGCATCTTGCCTATCGCAGCTTTGTAAGCGGCTGCCGGGGCTTTTTAGGACGAGGCATCAGAGTGGTCATCCCGTGTGTGTGTTGTCCGCCAGATACGCCAGGAGTTTCCTGATCTCTTCAGTCAAATGCAAATCACAAAATATTAGAGAAACTTAGTTGTTTTAGATTCGTTAGTAGTAGTTGTGGTAGGAGTGTGTATCTATCTAATCTATCTATCTAATCAACACAGTTAGCTTGCCAGCTAATATGCTAACCTACGTTTGCTAGTTGTTCAGTGTAATATGCCAATCTACTATGAACAACAGCTAGTCTAGGCTAGCAAGACCATGTTTACAATTGCAATCTTATACGGGTAGTCTGCTACGTTCGGTCATTCATTGTAGCTGGCATGAAAACAATGTTTTCCCTAGCATGTCTAGCTCTAGGTAGCCTTGTTGTTTAGCTATGTAGCATACACGCTATACGGTAAATCACCCGGAGTATACTGTCTATGAGTATTTCGTGTGTGATTGTAGACATTCTCCAGCTATGAGATACATGTAAGGCCATCTGCTAACATTGGAGTTGACATATGGAAACGCTAGCAACTTAGTTAGCCCAGTTAGCACTGCTCGCACACACACAGACACACACACTGCTGGAGGAGCAGACAGGCTTGGCGATAAAGCTAGAACAAGCGAAACTCTTCCTGAGCACACACAAACACTCACAGCCGAAGTAAAAACAATAAGTGTGGCTTGATATTGAGTAAGAAAAAGGTTTATAACGCTGTGAGCATGCAGAGAGCATTTCAACGTAATAGTCCGAAAAACGTTTACCCATTTAAACAGTCGTGGTAGATACCTTGTTTGTTTTAAACATCATAAATACACAAACGACAATGAATACTTACAGGTTGTGTACCCGAACTCCCGCTGGTCCAAACAAAGTAGGAACAGCATCGTTCTTCAGTGCCCTACGCTGTACATATCCGGCATGAATCGCTGAAAGGTTTGGGAAGCTTTGTTTCGTGAAAGGCTGGCAGAGGGTGCGGCCATAGCTCTGGGCGTGGCTACTGGCCATTCCTACGTCACGATACCCAGGAAGTAAACAATGGAAAATGAGAAATCTCCAACGAGGCATTTTGGGGAGGTATTTTCTGTGTTAGAGTTTTACTCGCTACAGGGTGTATTTTGAGGGTTTTTGACTCTGCAGACCGTTTACATGCATAAAAACCTTCATAACACACAAGGGGACGGGTAATAACCGGAAAAGTATGACATGGGACCTTTAAGAAAAATAATTTATTTGTATACTTTGGTGTCACCTAGTGGCAGTAATTAGGAATTGCAGCAAGTCCAGTGTTCCCTCTGTATTCTTTCAATGAAACAGAGTTGATGTGTCAGCTTAAAGAAAAAAACTAACTTCTAAGAAAGACTGCTGAACCATGCCAAGTCTTTTTTATAAAAAAACAATTCCAATTATCAAAGAGCTGAGGTTATTATCAGCATAGTGATCTTTTTATCCACCATTCCCTCAACGAACCCGGCCCTCTGCAGTCAGCAGGGCTTTGCATCACACTGATGAGACACGAACACAATGACACGCTCATCGAAGCATTACTATACAGAGCCACTATTGGGGGAAACTGTTCACTGTTTCTGTGCACGAAGAAACCAAACTGCCTTCAGGGTGCCACAGAAAAGTATGTCTGTGTTTCTGTTTCTGTCAGATGGGGATACTTTATTACCCCTTCTTCCTGCCGCTGCCCACTCAGTCGTTTCAAGTGAGCACCAGTGAGTTGTATTTAGTTCATAACAATAGCACCACAACCCTTTGAGTCAGTGAACTATTCTATTTTCCTCTTATTAAAACATAAGTATTAAAAGGCTTTGGATCTGATCTGTTGCCTCCTTCACATGTGGTGAGGCTTCACGTGGTGCATCATATTGTTGTGATGTTGATGTAACCATGTAGGCGGTCCAGTGGACCTCAAACTAGCTAAGTGAAGGTTCAGTGTCCGCTGTAAGTCCCTCTACTCTCATCAGCTGTTCCTTCCTCTGGCTCTTTTTGTTTGTTCAAGAACCCGCTGTTAAAGGGAAAGTCTGCAGTGTCCATTTCTCTTTTGGTGGTGTGTAATGTACAGTAAAGTTGAGTCGACTCCCTGTTTTGTTGGTCTGCTATACAAGCAGGTTTTTGCAAATTTAAAAATAAGTTTGTGTATTAAAAAGGTTTACATTTTTTGTGTGCATTTTTGACACGTTAGACAGCCACTCCTTTTATTTTCACATATGACCCCTTTAACACGGTTAGTTTCATATAATGACACATTGCGCTTTTATTTATATATGTATTCCTCTCTTTTGAAGTGAAAGAGCTCTTAACAAAGTAACAATGCTTTAAACAAAGGTCATAGCAGAGTAACCATTAAAAGATCTGTAAAATCCGCTTCGCTAAGAAACAAGCCTTACCTAGTCTGTTGCAGGTCACATTTTGGCTGCACAATGGCTCAAAAAGTGACATTGACAACGTTTCCTTTAAATAATATCCTGAAGTAAGGGACGATACAACACTTGTATTCTCAGCAATGCTAACTGTAGGGAGCCTGGAGGGCATTTTAGTGAGATTGAAATCTTCTATGCACCTGGAGAGATGTGCTCTCTGGGGGACCTTCTTCAGTTTTAATAAAGACCTTGAAATAAAATAGTCTGTGAGTGGATATGACATAATGGTATTTATTTTCTCCCCCCCCCCCCCAGGCTTATCCTCCCATCACTGGTTCCATTTGCGCATAGATCAACCAGACTGTAAGTGTTACCAGAAGTATTTGATGCAAAGCCTCCTTCCTACAGCTGATGAATGTCGGAATAACCAGTTTGTATCCCTCTGGTTTTTGCAGGCTGATTCCTCGCTGATGTTTCTGTCAAACACAAACTCCCGGTGCCTGGTCCTCGGCACAGTGGTGAGGGAGGAGCCACAGGGAAATGTGTCTGAAGTTTTATACAGACGCTACCATGTACCTGACGAAGAGACTTATAACAGATTCTCAGTGTTATTCAGCATTAATACGACTTAAGACACTTTATGTTGACTACTTTGGATCAGAGTTCCGTTTGCTGAATGGTTTTCAATTTAATTCTGCACTACAGGATTTTTTTTCTTTCGAGTGATGCTTATTTTTATGACTTTGTGGAACTACTCATATATATTCATTTGTTTCAAATGCCCCAAAGAGGTCATCATGTTATGTTGGAAAATAAATGGAAAATATGACTGAGTGTTTTTTTTATGGTGTTTTTATTGCTTTATGTTGCTTGACATTGAATCCCAATGTAAAATATACGATGTTTATCTTCAGAGTAAATGCACACAACCTTAAATCGGCTCATATTTGCAACAGTAAAATAACACAAAAGTACAGTGTTAAACAAGGCTTTGTCATTAGCTTCAGTTCAGAGTTTAAAGGGGCATTTCCTATTTAATGAAGTGGGGTTTTATGAGGCACTTGTCCATAGTCAGTATATAACCTACTGGCGATATGCAGTTAAGAGAGCACAAGCACTGGAGCAAAGCAATGTTCTGATCTCAAGGACAGCGTAGAAACATGTATTAGCCACCTAAAAAAAATGACTCAAGACAATTTAAGGGTAGGCTATATTAAGGATATTATCATTGCAATACCTTAACATCACCCTTTTCTGTAAGTAGCTGAAGATGTTATCTGTTTTCTTCAAAACCACCATTGGCAAAAAGAGTTATTTTAGGAGTTGCTGGTCTATTCTGCCTTGGTGTGTTTGTGTTATTGTGTGACTTTGGTATTGTAAAGGGTAAGTTCTGATTCAACAAAGTGACAGCAACACAAAAAAACGAACCGATTGATGCAGAATAAACCAGCAACTTGAGTTTTTTTGTCAATTGACTCTGATCTTGAAGACAGCATACATAACAGCTTTAGTTCCTGCTAGGAAAAGGACTGGCAGCAGGCTGAAGCTGTTCAACTATTCTAAATACAGCACACACTCAAAATATACTGATTTTTAGGTGGCTAAAATAGGTTTTGCTGCTGCCTCCAGCTGGCTCACCGAACAGTTTCTCCAGACTGGGATGTGCCACCACTGACTCTGCATATGTTTCTCGTGCATACCCACTCCAAACAATCTGAAATGTCCCTTTGTTTAAAAGCGGCTCAATTATCTTAATTTAAAAGAGTTCACATGTCATTCAGTAATAAGCCTTCAGTTTAAAAACACACTCCAATAAAAGTTGATACTTCATGTGTGAAGGTAGAAGTCTTCGGTGCCAGAGGGGCACTAGTGCATTTGAGTCCAGTAACCTAAAGATACATGACCAACACCATCATGGAGTAAAAATCATGCATACACACAAACATTCATCACTGCAGATAAAAACATAAAAGCCTGATTCTTCGGTGTCAGACAACACAGCTTAGATTATAGATGAATCAGTGCACTGCTGTAGGTATTATTGTAGACTATCTTCATGACTAGTCTTTTATTTCTGTCCTTCATTTGTTTATGCTGTATATGTATTCTTATGCAAGTGCATTGAATTGTAAGAGAATCTTAAAACCGGTGGTCCACGTCCTGCGTGGCGCTGTTTGATGAGGTCACACAGGAAGTTCATCACTTTCAAATCATTCTCACTGGTGCACAATCCCCGCATCAACAGGAAGTCCTTTTCCTCTGCGCCATCGTTCCCTCCAGCTTTGTGTGGACGTAGTAACGCAGGATTAAAGGAGCACAGCAGCGCCTGGTTGGCCAGTGCAGTCAGGCAGCTCTCCAGGTGCAGCAGGTAGGTGATTCCTCGGCTGATGCCAGAGTGAGGGTCAGCCAGTCGACCAATCAGAGAGCCGGAGTACGACGGGCATTGCAGCGTCCTCTGGTCCAGGTCCAACAGCGCCAAGTAACGACTGTAGCGAGTCAGAGAGTGAAGGATGCTGGCCAGAGAGCTGGAGGAGGATCTGGTTAAAGAGAAGAAGAAGAGTATGTTTATACGTTTTACATTGAAATATCACATATGTTGCATTATGCATGAAACATATACATGAACATCCACCAATCGATTTTTAAATCATACCCAAAGTCAAGATCAAACATTAAAAACATCAACAATCAACATCTCCATTTGACTGCATATGAGCAAATGAACAATAATGGTATTATGGTGCATTGAGCACCATATAGTAAACATTAACAAAGATTAACATGTATTGATTAAAAATGAAATCTGATTAGCTTTTTTATGCAAACAAGAGGCTCAGGCTAAAAGGTATTAGCAAAAGCTTTTTTGTGGCACAAATATTACAGGCTTTAACAAACTGGCATTTACTGGATGGCTTTGTAAGTGTGAAGTAAATCTGGTATTCTGTAGGTACACTAATGTATGGACAGTTTACAGAAGGTCTGATCGAATGAAAGAAAGCAACCAGGAAAAGACTACAGGGCATCTCTAGCATAAACGTGAACTAAGTGAGGAAAGGGCTAAGACATAAAACAAATGGTAATATAATAATGTCATATATCAACATCTAACAATTGTTGTACCTGTGTATTCCTATCAGTCTCCAGGTGAGCAGGTCGGTCAGCTGCAGCGCTGAGGTCAGATACGCCTTCACAGCGCTCCCATCAGGCCCGGGAGCCGGCAGGAAGAGACTCAGAGCGTCCACCAGCTTCCTGACCAAACTCTCGTCGCCTCCGATGACGACCAGCGGCCGGCCGCTCAGGAGACAAAACAAGGCATGCTGGGAGAAGGAGTTCTGTTTGAGGAACCTGAGGGCTCTCAGTCCGGCCTTCCTCCTCCTCCGATGGGAGCGGGAGCTGCTGTGGACGTTCTGAGTTGGAGACGGCGGCTCGGTGGAGCCGGTGATGCTGGTGCAGTCGGACGCCTCGTCCACGCTCAGCAGCCGGAGAGGAGCGCAGGGCGGAGACCAGCGGTCGACCTCCGCCAGAGCTACAGCAGGGGCGAAGTTCACATGAAGGTCAAGCACCGACCGCACCGTCCGATGGACTACAGACAAGCGAGGCTTCGACTCCACCGTTACTTCATCTAAAAAATAACAGTTTATTTCATGTTAATGCCTATTTCTGGTTTATTAAACTCTGTCTTATTTTCATAGTTTTGTTACTATACTATTGTGTGCTTGTCTGTTTATTTCTCCGTCCACAGCTAATTACATTACATTACATTTCATTTAGCTGACGCTATTATCCAAAGCGACTTACAATTACCAATTACAGGGACATTCTCCCTGGAGTAACTAAGGACTAAGTGCCTTCCTCAAGGGCACACTAGTGGTGGTGTTCCTGGCGGGATTCATCTTCAGCCCACCTCACTATCCATTAGACCACCACTATGCAGCTAATCTTTCATACTGCTGGACTACTTGTCATAATAAAGTTTATTCTCATTTTGAACTGGAGCAGATTATTTCCATATCGATATATTTTGATTTTTAATATTAGCCACATAATTGTTATTGTATACTTAAATGGTGCTTGAGGCATAAATATTGTAGCAGATGTTTTACCTGGCATTGGTTTGGACGTCTTCTCCGGACCGTTGACTTCATGGACATGATTGCCCGTCAAACATTCAACGACCTTCTCCTCTTTCATTATACCCTCACCACTCACAGTTTTTTGCTTTGAGGTCTCTTCTCCGTCAACACGACCGTCATATTCCTGAGCCTGCTCCTCGTTTTCATCCTCAGAAACTGAAGTACTTGCTTTGAATGTCTTCCTCCTCTTGAGGACATCGTCAGATTCACACTCTGCCAGTATTTCCTCACATTTCTCAAAGCCGTTAGTAAGAGCTTGTTGATCTGACTCTTCCTCGGTGATGGCGGTGAGGTCGTCAGGAAAGATGGACTCGGTGGTGCTCAGAACCTCGATGCTGTCCTCACTGTTGGCTCGTCTGGCGTACACTCTGCCGCGCCTGATGCCTGAATCTACTGCAGCTCGCCTGTAAGACGAGTCCGTCATCCCGACTGAGGTTTCTGTTGAAGAGAGGGAACCGTGTCAGAGAGGCCAAATACTGCAATATGCATTCCTTCTAAAGTACACACATCAACCTAGTAAATAAAAGATATTCACTGTAAGCAATCAGCTAATTGTCTTTCAGTACCTCTGCTGTCAGAGCCATGCTGGGTCTGATAAGACTTCTCCGTCCCGAGCACTTCGATGCTGTCGCTGCTGCTCACACTCCCCGTCATCTCCGTGGCAACGCTGGGGTCAGGGGTCATTGTCCTGTCATCTCCTGCCTCCATTTTGATGGGGATCTCCTCCACGCAGGAGCAGAACGACTCCATGCTCATTGGTTCTGATTGAAAGGCCTCGACGCCGCTCTTATTCCCCGTCGCCCTCTGCAGCTCGGCCTCAGCGCTCTCTCGCTCCTCCTCAGATCCCTCCTCTGGCCTCCAAAGCTCAAACAGGAAGTTGGTGAGCGTGAGCCTCCTGGACAACGACTGTATGGTGCTAGTCGTCCGCAGCACACTCCTGTCGCCACGTAGACGGCACTCTGTGTCAGCGAGCTGCTCCTTCATCAGAGACAGGAAGTAGGAGTTGCAAAGCTCCTGGAGAGGCTTCAGACGGCGCTCAGACCTGCAGGAGGAGGAGGAGGAGAAGGAGGAGGAGGGGGAGGGACCGGGCTCAGGAGGCAGTAACGCTGTTGGATCAGTGAGGGAGTCGGCTGGGTCGTAAGGCAGGAAGTCAGGATGTTTCAGCTTCCTGTTTGGGTAGGAAGTGACCTGGCGCAGGAGCTCTCTATGATTGAGGATTGAACGCTCTACAGCTTCAATCTCATCTGCTTTCTCTCCCTCCTTTGTGTTTACCTTCCTTGGAGGAGGATCAGTCTCCTGATGCAGGGTCAACCGTGAGTACCTGAAACAGTCAGAAAGAGTTGATTTATTCAGCAGCCTTGGAGAGTAACTTAAAACTGGAGTGCAGGGCTTTTACATATGCATGAACGTCTGTAGCATTCAAGCCCTTGCCAAAGGAGTTCACACAATGGGACTCATTCTATCGCCGCCAGGGAAAAGCTCTTTATATTTCACAGAATACCAAAGTTGTGGTGTCCAAAAAACGTTTCTGGAGTAGAAAAAGAAACAGCATTTTGAGGAAAGATTGTTCAAGCTAGATGAACTGCAGCCCGGCTATAACCTTCTGCCAACTAGTCAAGTTGTCTGTTTCTCCAAAATTGCATCATTTGACTTTGTGTTTAATTTTCATAATTACCATCTATAATCATGGCCAAAA